CATTTTGTTAGCAATTTTGTCAAAAGGTTCAACTTATTGCTCTCATTTGCCAATCGATTATCAACAACTTTTTTTTCTCTCTTCGCTCTCTTTACTAGCATCTTGCATCTTCATCAACTTGGTAACATCTTATTCAACATTTTCCCCTCATTCTCTTGACCTTTCCTTTGATAATCATTTTGGATTCTCAACTGCGACAGATTGTTGCGATAACTTGCAACACTCTCAAGGTGTTCAACTTGTATAACTTGTATATTACGACCATTGTATACATACTTGATTGTCCTTGCTACAAGTTTATCCCCAAGGAACCATTTATCTTTCAAAATGCCATGTTCAATGATGATAGAGAGAAACGGGCAAAAAAGAAGAAAGAAAATGACTTTTTCATTTGACTTTTGCATTTTTTTCCTCTTCTCTTCCCTTTCTCTCTCCAACATTCATTCACCTTTGCGATGCTCAAGTTAATCAAGTTAATTAAAGGATCGCAAAGTTCAATCATTATTAAAGCTCAATTTTGACAGCAAACCGCTGTGATTAATTGATTAAAGCTATATTAACATTCAAGTTGACAATCAATAACTTACTCTTGAGTAAAGCAAAACTTTGAATATTTATTTTCAAAACCGTAAAAGAACAAAAAGAATCAAAAGAATCGAAAAATCTCCATGAAATGTTCTTCCAAATCAAAACCTACGAACTTTTCATTCAACATTCGCTAAAATGCTCTATTTTTAGCTGAAAACTTCTGTTCGAACTCGATTAACATTGCGATTTGTAGAGCTCTTCAAAGTTCATCGACTTTTTATAAAACTCGAAATGTAACTTTCATCTTTTATGAGAAAATATTTTACATTTGATTGAATAAGATATGAAAGGATTTCTATTTTTAAATGTTTCGATTTCAACAACTTTTTTCAAAAACTCGAACAAAATTCAGATTTTCTCTGTATTTTTTTCTTCGACTGTAGTTTTGAATTTCGGCTGAAACTTTATCGTCCAATTGTTCTTGATGAGGTACAAAGTGACCAAAATTGAGTCGAAATTTCTTAATAGGTCAAAATTGTGAAGCTCATTTTGATGAGTTTGGATGAAGTTTAATGTTGATGCAACTGAAGATTGGAAGGAAAAGAAATAAAAAAAAGTTTTCAAGACGCTTTTCAATTATTATTATCATTATTTTATGGTCATGTTCATACAATATTTAGACCTAATGATTATCACTTTCAAGACAAGTCTAAGCTCATTTGAAGGATAAACTTTTCTTTCCCCAAAACTCACCATTGTTGACCAGTTTAATATAAAGGGAAAAAAGAGAAAAGTTGAAAACATTTTGTTTGGTTTTTTTTCTTCTTCTTCTTCTCCTAAAAGCATTTGATGAATGAGGGAAACCTTCAAGTGTTGCTCTTCTGTGCACACAGAAAAGAAGTTGAAAACTGAGCTTTTTTCAAGTGTAATGATGATCATCAGTTAAAATGTAATAATGAACAATTGAAGGTATAATAATGCTTGATAATGATAATAGTTGGATGCCTTTTTTATTGTTCATTAATGGCATTTTAAAGTGGCCAAAGAATGACAATTTTCAGTCTACTTCAGTTAAAGCCATAACTATTTATAGACAGAAACTGATTAGAAGAAAATTCAGTAAAATCTCGATTTCCATTCAGTATTGAAGCTTGCCATGGAAAACTTTGAAATTGAACCTGAAGTTGAGTAAGAAATTTGAATCGGAAAAGGAATAAAATATTGGGAAAAAAATGATTATTTATAATCAAAACTTATCGATTGTAAAAAGATATTTAATTGTTCGTTTCTTTGTTTTCCACTTGAAATATAATAGTTTTATATTCATCATTTTTTTTTACTTCTTGCTTAGTAAAGATTTTTATTCAGGTCAATTTATTTCCATCATCAATTGCTTCTTTTTTGCCTTTGTTTACCTCACTCTTGTTGAACATTTTCATGATAATTTTATTGTTCTTGCTGATGATGATGTTGATGGTGAAACTATTGATTATCATTTTCTTTTGATTTTTTTTGTTGATTGAATTGAGAAGGAAATGGTTAATAGTCAATGGAGGAATGAAAGGAAAAGAAAATTTAGTTTCAAAGTTTGAAATGAGTTTATTTCCAATGAACCCTTCTTGTGACGATAAATAGATAAATTCCATGAGAATTACGGTTGACTTGTTAAACGGTTGACAGAATAGATGATCATTTATCATCAAGATGAAAATTGTTTCAAGGTACAGAATAAAAGAAAAGAGAAGAAGAAGAAAAAAAATCAAACCTTTTTCTTTGCCAAACATGAAATGGATTCATCAGTCAATCCAACTAATCAAACATCAATAGAGTTTACAATTTTATCGCAAAATTCCTTCAACTTTAACCAACTCATTTCGATGTTCATTTGTTATTTTGCATTACTACTGTGACAGTCAGCTTCAGCAACAATCGACAAGTTTCAAGATCGAACTTTGATTTCGATAAAAATTTCATTCTAAACAAAATCAACAGCAATCTATTCTTAGTACTTTCATGATGATTTGCAGAATTTTGTTCTCTTTGCTTTTATCTTATAATCATTCAAATCTATTTGAACAATTTTTCTGTTGATTTCATCTTCGAGTCTTTAAGGATTTTACAAAGACACTTTGCACAGTCAATGTTCACCCAAAAGCCTGTCATTTGTAACAAGCTTACATTTTTTAATCAGCATCAAGTATCTCACAAAATGGATTCCCAGCTTTACACTTTTCAAACCATAATCATCATCCAAACCATTAAACCTTGTTTCATTGACTCGACTAATAGACTCGGTAAAAAAAGAGTGCAAAACAAGGCAACTTTTTGGACGCGAAAAGGCAATCACAAGGGATCAAATTAGGATAAAGGATAGACTGATAGATATTAATATCAAGTTTAATAAGAGCAATAATATAAGATATCTTTCAATGTCATCATTTTTACTTCTTTGCATTACTCCAAGACTTTGTGCACTTTCAAAGAGCAATGTTGATTTTACGTTAAGGATCAAGTTATCAAAATGATTTCCAGCTCAATGTGATCCAACCTTTTGTTATTACATTTATTGTTCAAATGGATATTCAGGACAATTGTGGGAAGGGAGAAAGAGAAACCGAAAGAAAGAGAAAAGCGAAAAGCGGATATAAGATAACAGGGAGTGAATGGGGGTTGGAATGAGGCTGAATAAGAATCGACTGGGAGGGTTTATCAGATTGTGTTGAAGGATAATCAGAAGGGAGAAAATGTTTGCTCAGAATAATCAGCTGAATGGAAAGAAAATGTTGATGACGATGATGATGATGATGATGGAGATGAAGAAAGTTATTTACAGGGAGGCGGGAAAAGACGGAATGAATGGCAACTAATAAAGAGAAATGTTGAGATGAAAGAGAATGATATTGATGGAATCATAAAAGGCTATTTAAAGACTATCATCAGTCTTATCAAATACAGAATGCTAAGTTTTGTTGAGTTGACTCAAAGCATAATCCAGAAGCGATCAAGAAAAGGTTCAATTTTATGTTTTTTTTGTTCGTATTTTTCCCTTTACAGCTCAAGTTTCCCCTGCAACAGAATCTTGATTGGAACCAAAAAATTTTCCAGAATCATTTTATCAGGTTATTCCATTGACTGGGAGTTGAATGTTGCTCAAAACTCGGGCAAACCTGAAATGAATAAATGAAAATGTCGCAAATTACCTTCAATTATGGATCCATTTCTTTACCTTGAGGGTCTTCAAGTTGAAAGGCAAAGAAGCAAAAAGAAATGTTCAAAGCCTTTGATTTCAACCTTTTCAGTTTTCAACATTTTTTCTCATCGAAATAAGCATTTTTATCATGAAGAAGAAGAAAAAAACTTGTAAGGTTACAATGTTAACCTAAAATTGTAGTAAATTGAAGAGAAAAGAAGAAAAGTTGAAAAAGTTCTGCAATCGATTTCACTATTATTATCTGAGATGGAAAAAAACTTTTCACTCCCAGTAACATTTTATTTGGTTAAACTCCTGTTTATCAATAATAATGTTGATAATACCAATATACTTTTTTATACTTTTAGAGATAAACTTTTTTTTCCATTTCCAATAAAAAAATTTCTCCTCATCAAACCTTTATTATTGCCATTATACGTTTGATAATGAGCACATTGCCTAAGGATTTTTTACTCCCTGCAAGTGCGTTTTGCCAGAGCATGCAAAGTAACCTTGTTTCATCAGCAACCTGTCATCATAATGGATCATGATAACTGTTCACTGATGACTGCATTTCAATATCTCAACTTTATTAATGGAAGAAATGAGAGAAAAAGAAAATTTCGATATTTTTCCATTTTCATTCAACATGAAGATAATTAGAAATAATTATTATCAGAACAGGAATTAGAGTAAAAACAAGATTCATCTCATTTAACCGGAAGCAACTAGACTATTGAACCATATCAGATGATATTAGAGGTTAACATTGTTATCATTGTTATTATTATCATTATCATCTTTGCATTGTTATCATATTCATGGAATGATATTTTTTCAACTTTTCTCTATTCTTGCAATTCTTTTGTGAATTTTGTCGAAATTTGCCTGTTAACTGGTTATCATTCTGATTATCATGATTGTGTTCAGAAAAATGGTTCTTTTGTTGAACATGAAATGTTACCTTTTGTTTAACTTTGCTCAATATGTAGAGTTTAATTTTGTATTCATTGCCATTCCATTAGCATTCATGAATAGAATGACTTTTCCATTCAATTCCCTGATTGTTTAATTAATTGGCAAGTTCAATTGGTAACCGAATAATTTGATTTGATTTTTTCGACAATGTTTTTGTTCACTTTTTCAATGAAGTACGAGTTGGATTTTCATTTTGAATTTTTTATTTCGATTGATTTTCGGTAAAAAAGTGCTAATGTTTTGATGAGAAAAATATATTACTCCAAGTTTGAACAATTTTCATTTCTTTTTGGACTGAAAATGCATTCAAAATTGAATTAAATGTTAGATGAAAAAAGTTTTTGGGAAGAAAAGGATTATTCAATAAAATAAGTTTTTGCCTTTTACATTAAAATGCATAATGATTGGGATAATTAAGGGTTATGGTGATGATGAATGAAAAATTACAAAAAATTGTTTGCTTTTGTTCATCGAAAAATGAAGGAGAGGAAAGAAAGCAAAAGTTTTCACTGGTTTCATTGAAATGGCCCAAGAAGCGTAAAGTAAAAAAATTAATGTTGAAACGAGTGAATAAACCATGACTTTAGATTGATGATAAGATGAGTGGAGTTGATGATGATAATGATGATTTGAAAAAAGTAGGAAAGAGTAGGAAGGAAAAGGAAGAGATCATTTGTATGAATTTTTCCAGACTTCGGCAAATGTGATTGCTGAGTGGAAGCGGTAAAAGATTGATAAAGGCAAAGTTATCCGAACAATGAGTGCCCAAGTTGAGAAACCATAGATTCGCAGTTGAACGGGAGATGCTTCGACCTTCTGCATTTCAAAGGTATAAATGATCCAAAGGGTGAGATTAGCAATCAGTAAAAAGGTTATCAATTGTCGTCCAGGCTGCTTTAAGTTACTTCGTTTGCGGCAAACAACGTCAGAGATGAAGAGCGATTGGAGAGTCACCTGAAAGTAAAGAAAAAAAGTTTGATTAAAAAATTGAAAAACTCTACATAATTCAAATGACTGGTTTCGATGATTAGCTTAATCAGCAATCTTAAGTGGTCTTAAAATCTATTTTCAATCGATTCAAAAGAGCTTTGTAGCAATCGAGCAAAATCTAAGACAAAAACTGAGATGAAGATAGAGACGTTTCGATTTCAGATTTCCACTGAGATCGATTTTCCGATCAATTTACATCAGAAATGGATCGATTTTTTATTTTTATGAACACAATTATTTTAGTTATTCAATCACAATCATTCAATTTTTGAATGGGAAAAACTGATCAGATTGGCTTAAAATCAATAGAAGAAAATAAGATCGTGGTGATCCCTGATGATGAGATTGTAATTTGAATTATTTATTCGGATTATATTTCGATTTTGCATTTTTTACTGATTGTAAATATTATCCGGAAGCTAATCTAACCTAACCTAACTTAACCTAACCAATCACCAAAAGACTCAATGAAACGGCAATCCGGCGAAACGAAAAATTAAAACTCTGAATAGCGCACAGAAACGCAATGAGAAAATTGATTTTGATCGATTTTCGCAGTTTCATCAGTAGATGTTTCTAGGAGAATCGAGAAATTGTTGAGGCGATGGAAATGAAAATAATGGAAAGTGATTAACCAATTAAGTTACTTAGCAAGCGATTGAAATATGAATAACTTGAGCAAGTCAAGTGTCACTTGAAGTACTTGCACTTTTTGAAAACTGCACATTTCTTTGACTATTTGATGGAATCACTTTTCTATCAACTTTTCAACTATTTAAGGCAATTAAAGTGATGTTTTTGATGAAGGCAAAAAAAACACTGAAAGGATTGAATCTAAATGTTGTTATAATCAATTTAACTCTTTACATTAAACTGAGGCATTCTCTTTGATTCTCTAATTTTTCCAATTGTGTGCAAATTATTTACTGATTTTCCATGAACCAAATCCATGGAAATGTCAATCTCAATTAAACTCAACTTGAGATTCCCTATTTTCCCACCTTTCCAAATTTCAACCTTTCAAATTGATTAACTTTTTCGTTCAACTCTTTTGGTGTAAATTAAAAGTCTCAAGTTAAATTAACATTTACTACGTTTTTGCCTGCATCTTCATCTTCATCATCATGACTCTCATCAACAAGCGAAAGAAAGAAAAAAAAATAAGGTGAAAAGGTATTTACACTTGAATCGCAAGTGAATCTGATTTGCATTGACGGTTTCCTCTGTCGACTGAATCAAGGCAATCAAAGTAAACTTATTAAAAAAACCAAAGTAAAACGAGTTTAGCTTTTTTATCATCATTCACATTTGCATCTTCATCAAATTGAATTGATTAGAGGCAGAATCAAGTAAATTGAACGAGTTGACTGAATAATGAATCCAAATAGTAGTTTATCATGATAGTTGAATGTCGAAATTTTTATTACAGAAAAAGGTGTTAAAAGGTGAAATTCGGGAAAAAAACTTCTAATGAATTTTTCTCCTAAACTTGGCAAACCTTTTAATTGAAGCCATTGATGACGCCTAAAAAGACATTCCCTGTTGATTCAAATTGATATTAAAATAATTGAAATAAACATTTAATCTCAACTCCACCTTTTGCTTTTTATTAACTCAACTTTTTCCCTCCAAGTCTTTGCTCATAACGAATCCATTGTGAGAACATCATGAATCTATAGTTTAGAATCTATTTTGAATCTCATTCAAAGTCGATATTCTGGTAAACACCCAATATTCAATTTCAATCAATTGGATTCTCTGTTTTTTCTTCTTTTGCATCACAAAATTGATGATGATTGAGAGTTGAGATGTGAAGATGAAATGAGATAGAAAACAATGTTATTGCAAGTTAATTGGACAACAACTAAGATTTTGTTCGCAACAATATTCTGATTCCTGGTAATTGATTTTCATGTGTAACTGAAAGGTTATACTTATAATGGTATTGAGTTAACTTGGATAATACAAAATGACGTAAAAAGCAATTTACTTTGCATTCAAAGAGGAAAGGTAAATGCATCAACCTCTGCTTTCTGTGTATGCAAAATAAACAAGAAAACACACATTTTTTTCTTCTTCTCTTCTTTCTTTGCATTTTTGGCCAAATTTTGCATGGTAAAACCTGATGAGAAAAAGGAAACTTGTCCAAGGTGGAGAAAAATATTGAGTCGAAAATGGGTGAAATGAGAGAGAAAAAAGTGATTGAAAAGAAAAGTGAAAAGGTCAAAGTGATTGAGAATAATGGAGTTTATCTGAATAACTTTTTTTTTCTAGTTGTAAAGTAGTTTTAATGGTGAATGGAACAAAAAAGTTTGGCGAAAAAAAATGTTCATCAAGTGAGCCATAATTTCAAATTGAACATTTGATTTCAATGATTCGACATGATTCCAGGTTTACTTGCTCATGAAACTAGCCTCGAGAGGTTTACTTTTAATGAGCAATCTTGCAATGATCTAAATGAACTTTTGGCTTCAATGTTTGCTTCAGTCTTTACGGTTTGCCTTTTCAAATGATATCATAATGATAATAGATTTACACATTAAGAAGCAAGATTAAGAGGCAGAGATTGAGGAAAGATGGTGAAGCCCAGAAAACCGGAAACATTTAGGAATTACATGTTATTAGACGAGGGGAAAATGGAGAAAATAGTTGCACATGGAATGAGCACATTTCCTTTTCAATGTTGAGTTTCTTTGCCTTTTTGCCTTATCCTTTTCACACAGACACACACATGTGCTCTGCAGGCTAAACCCTAATCTAGTCCAGTCTAATGTTGATGAAAATCTTTACTCTTATTCATGTTCTTACGTTTGGTTAAGAAACTCTCAAGGCGTTCATTTGGAAATCAAATGTAACGTTTGACCGCACAATGACCAATTAATGTCTCAAGAATAACAATTTACCATAGAGATTTATATTGCACTGGAAATTGCTTTTACACTTTCCCTTCACACCAAAACTGAATCTAATGTTTTCGCTCTTAACCGATCAACTTTCCGTTCCTCAATTATTGCACATTAAACTTTTCTTGCTTTCAAAATTAACCCATAAAATGAAAATCTTTTAACTAAAAAATTTTCACTTCTAATGGATACTTTATGAGGAAATTTCATCGTAAAAGTTTAGTTACTTAAAGATATTGAGAATATAAGGAATAATGAGTTTCGATTGTCACTACATTTTACAAGATTATAATGAAAAATGAATTCCAATGAAAACTTCAAGTTATTCAATTAGAGCAGAATCAAGTCGATTAGCTTTAAAGTTTAGTGAAAAGGCAATCAAAGCTAAGAATTGAAAAGCCACGAAATGGAATGAAAAATCGAATTCTGTTCAGAAAAACGAAGATTTTTGACCTTATTAGTTTTTTAACAACGAAATTAGAATTTGCAATTTGCAATTTGCAATTTAGAACAAAAATTTCTCTAAAAAACTTGAGAATTCAGTAATTGCTGGCATATTCGAAGTTAAAAAATAGCAAAACTTAGAAACAGATTTTTTTGTTTTTGCGGATTTCGCTAAAATTTGATTTTTGAGTAATTTTATTTTCGAACTTTAGATTTTTAGTTGACTTTTGAGACACTAAAGTTCGAAGTGTGTGCATTTTGTTAAACTTACTTGAAGTATTGTGAGTGTGCTGGTAATTAAGACTGCGAAATGTTGTAATGAGGATAAATCCATTGCTCCTGCAATTACCCCAAACAACGAGTAAACATACAACCCAAAGGCAGCCACTCGTAGGAGTAAGTCACGTAAACCACCATCAGCAGTTTCATGGACACCTAATCAAAGTAAATGAAACAAAAAGTGAACAAAATGTTGAGCAAAAGTTGAAATTGATTTCATGTTGAAAGGAAAAGAATTTTATTGCAATTTTTCGCCGATTCACTAATCAACTGATTATTTGGTGTATTGTTGATTTATAAATGTCAATGCATTATTGTTGGAAACTTGAATGTTGGCAGACTTTTGGACGATAAAAAAAGGTAAAGTGATGAGAAATGCATTTGAGTCCAACTATTATTTGTTGACTTCATTTTATGCTCTTGTAAAGAGTATCTTGAAGTTAATACAACAAGGCTACTTGGCTTTCATCAACCATAGGAAGGAACCATAAGAATGGTCTTGAAATTCAGGTTAACCTTTCTTTTCAATGTTATTAAGGTTTTAAAAGCAGGGAAAACAAAAACAGTTAAATAAGAAGAGGTTAGCTTAAGGTCTGAAAACTCAGGTCTAGTATTAGATTTGAGTCTTAATAGGTTAAAGAAAATGATTCAAGAATAGCTAAGGTCATCTTCACAAATGACCAGTTTTACCCTTTCAATTTCAATGTTTATCCTTCTCAGGGTTACAGTTGATTGGAGATGATGAAAATGGTAGCAACAAAAGTAAATGGACTCAATGGAAACATGAGAATAATCAACTTAGAAAAGAGATTTTTCTTCTCAAACAATTGTTCCATCACTAAACAAGAAGCAAAAACAAGTGAAAACTATTGTCTACTTCTGTCAACTTCATGTTGAATGAATGAATATTAGAAGAGAAAAAAAACTTTTCTTCTTACCTGGTTGAAATCGAAGTTTGCGAATTTTGAAATAAGCCAAAATTATGGCCAAACTACTGAGTATTAGTAAAGTTGAATGTGAAATGTCACTTATAAGAGTAGCCAATAGGTTGTAAGTTGGATGATGAACCAAGACGAAGAAGATTATCAATGAAGTTATTGAAACAACGAGGAACAAAAATCCACAAAATAATCCTAAAAATGGAAAGAAAATTAAAGAATAAGTTTAATGAGATTCAAGACAAATGTCGAAGTCGTACCTTTACTCGATCCAAGGCAACTGTAGAGTGAATGAGAAACCAGTGCAGAAGACTCTCGACTTGAGGTTGACAGATTGTCAATGTTGACCCCAGTTCCAGGTGAAGAGGGAAGTGAACACGGATCATTAAGACTCTTTGAATTTCGTCCAATGTTCGACCACATGACATAAAGGAATGCAGCACCAATAAGACTATATTCAACTATAAAGGGATACAGGTAAGGTGAGGTATCGGCCAGAATGCTGCCCATGATTTGCTCCTTTTGACAAGGGTTGGAAGTGTTCATTTCGTTGAAAGCCAGGGTTGCATTGGTTCGATTAAAGGGTCGCATTTCAGTTCTCAAAGGAAGAATCAGTTCCTCCAAGAATGAATGTGATTCTGTTGCCTTCAATTCCTTGAAACGAAAAAAAAGTAAAGAAAAAATTTCCCATAAAATTCCTATTCATATTCACTATTGTTTATCATGTTAATCTCTTTTGGTTTCATCATTCTTACCTGAAGAGTTTCCTTTCCCAGGGTTCGAATCCAAACGCAAATATTGGTTCCAACCAAATGCATTAATCCAATTCGTGCAATCAACTTGAACTTATTAATCATTAATCGTGAATAGGTAAAGATGAAGTACATTTGAGCAAATGTAAATGTCGCTTGAAGAACTGGATTCACACCTGAAATTTGCAAATTTGAAAATTAAAATTCGATAAAAAATCAAAAATTGCAACGAAAATTGAGGTTATCTTAGAGTTCATTTCAATGTTTTCCAAATTCAACTTGAATTATCGACTTTGCAGACAAATTGTTTGAGAAGCGAATCTTTAATTTCAAGTAATTTTCAAGGTAATTGACGATGATAAATTTATACACTTTTTTGATTCCATTTTTCCTCCCTGCAAGTTTGGATAAATTTTCATGTAAACAAGAAAAAAGTGAAAATGGAGAAAGGCAAGACGAAGACGGTTAACCATGATTAAATTTAATTATCATTCAGGTAACAATAAATGTTGAAAGAAAAAAAGTTGTTTCTTTCCTCAACTCTAGTCAAAATGCTCATAAATCAAATGAATAATTCATATCTCAGTCAACCCTAATCTTTCCCTGTCTTCCATATCATCTCAACACTATCACATTTTTTTCTCCACTTTTTACAGTTCTTCACCCAGTGAACAGTTGAGTTGATTCTCGGTGAAATATGGTGATGAACACAAACAAAAGAAGAAGAAAAAAAACTTTCACCAATCTTCATTCGCATTTCAATATGACAACATTCAGCATCTTTACGGACCTCATCTTGCACCCAATGCTTCACCAATCTTTTCCTCCTCTTATGGTTAACAATCAATTGTCCACTCACATGAATATTACATGAAGGGTGAGGTTCGACTTCTTTGTCTTTCCCTCTCAACAAACAACAAATTTTGTGACTCAAAAAATGAAGACTTGAAGCAAATGAAATGCTTCAATTACTGACCTTCAACAAAAATGTTAACATAAATTTTGATGTAAAAAGAGTTGAGTGTAATTAACAAACTTTCCCTCAGCTCATGTTCTTGCTCGATCATGCATCAATGAAAAGTGTAAGCCATTTGACTTTTGATGAATAGCTATTATCAGTTCGCGATATTCACTATTCATGATGTTCATTCCAAGACTTTTCCATTCCTATTCGAAGTCTTGCAATTCTTGTAAGTCTTCTGTTTCTTGTTTGTTTTGGTAAAAGGCAGAGTTTGAACCAAAAATACGAAAATGAACCGATTCTAAAGATCGATTTTTCTTTACATTTTTGATAACAACTTCTGAAAATGGACTTTTCTTATTCTCTTGATTGGACATTTTATCTAGCTAGTTGGTGTAAGTCAAGACCTAATCAAGTGAAGTTCAATGAAGTGCAATGGTTTAAAGTTGGCCTTTGGGTTGAAATTTTCCTCTTCAAATGAGATTGATTTTCAACCTGAAAAGTCAACTTTGAAGGAAAGGTGTTGGCCAAGTGGCAGCAACTCTTAACAGTTTTTCATTTAAAGGCTGAAGTTTCGATGATTATTTCCCCTGAGAAATAATTGTTCAATGTTCAGGTGTGAAAGTGAATGAAAAATCAGGTTAAATCTAATAGGAAGGTAAAAAAGAAAAGAAAAGGAGGCGAAAAAAGGTAACAAAATGAGTAGACATTTATTGACAGGAAAACATGTTAACCTTTGTTTCAATGAGCACACAGTCAATGGTAGACTTGAAAAGACTGGAAAAAGGCGAAAAGCAAAATTTAGAGAAAACTTTTTTTCTCTCTCTCTCTCTTCGCAATTTAAATCGAAATCAAAGGTGAAAAAGGTTTCATTAAAGGTGAACAGCAACAGACGTTGCAGATGGATTGAGGTAGACAGACTGCAAGATAAATACAGATGAACATGGAAAGAGACAGGGAAGGTAAAAATTCCCAAAGGTAAATGTAACTTCATTTTCACGAGAAGAAGAAAAAAAACGAAAAGTCAAAATTACATGAAGTCAAAGTCACGATAGAAAATGAAATGTCCAAAAAAGTCGAGTAAAGTTGAACACATCATGATTGGATTATAATGAGGTTGACCCTCTCCAGTCCATAAATGTTACTCAAGGGAGTTTCAACAATATTAAATGCTAAATGGTAAAACAGAAGAGAGACAAAAATGGACGCATAAATGGTCATTTTGTTTCAGACAAAAGTCAATCTCGGGTTGAACTTGCTATTTTATGCATTTCAATTCAAAGTGAAACTTGTTTCATTTTTCCATTTTCTGGATTCTCTGTAAATTACAATGATAATCATGATGTAAATATTTTCCAAGCAACTCTTGATTGTTGTTTAAGGCTTTTTTGTCAAACAACTTTTGTACTTTTCCTTCTTGTCGAGCATTTCTTTACCCTTTCCTTTTACTTTTATATTATGATTTCAAGCCTCTCAAGAGGTTATTCAATTTTTGTTTTTTTTTCTTCTCTTGTTTTTTACTTGTAAAAGTTATTGATAGATATTTATATTTGTTGCATTCCAATTGAAAACAATAATTTTCAATGCAAAACAAATGTCAATTTTAAACTTATTTTTAACCTTTTCTCTGACAACCTTTGAAAGATTCAAGTCTTTTTTTGTTCAAACTTCAATGGAGCAATAACCTGAGGATATTTTTTACTGACTTCATCTCGTAATATTTTGATTTGAAAAGTTGGCCAAAGTTGATGTAAGTTGTCAGAATTGGCAGGAGAAAAAAAGGTTTATTCTCATGTTGGGTTTGGTTAAATTCAAGTTGGGCTTGTTCAATTGTTGTGTGATGAGCTGTTGAAGTAATGAAATTTTTGGCAAAACACAAAAAAAATTGATACTTTTTTCTTTCTCTTCATTTCATGGTTCATTCAATGAGATTATTCAAAACCAAAGATTTTTTTGCTTGGCAAAACAGAGATTAAAGATCGATTAAAGTCGCATGCAAATTCAAAGAAAAGGGTTTAGTCAAGTCTCAGAATAACGTCTAAGAAACGATCCCATAACAAAATCGTTGTGCGTTAAATGTCAGTAAATGAAAGGTTGAGTTTTTGTCTTGAAATCGGTCGAAAAATTTGTCATTTCTTCAGAATTTGCTAACGAAAGCATTTTCTTCTCAACTGTTTAACTGTTCTCAGAAGTCATTTTTGAATGTTGACACTAATTTTATTGGTACCAATGTGCCAATCGCATAAATCTAAAAAATTCAAAGTTCTTTGTTGACTCGAATTGGTAATAATGTTTGCAATGGTAAAGCTGGAATATTCCAATAATTTCTGATTTATCCTGAAAATCTGGATTCTACTCGAATCACCACTATGCTATTGATGTCTAATCAAATGATAATCAATTTTTTGGATAAACTCTGATTTGTGGAAATGGTTTATTAGCACATTCAATAATCATTGCCTTCCTAATTTCATCTTTATTGAAAGATGGAATGAACTTTTGTATGAAAACTTTTTGACATCTTAATTGGCAACAATTACGGTTAAATTGAATTTGCATCTTTTTACGACCTGTAAAACTAGAGTTTTATCATGACTAATGATAGGAATGATTTTTTTCCTTCATCCTCCAGAGAATGAAATGGCAAGAAAAAGAGTGATGAAGATGAAAATAAACTTTTTCGTTCTCTTTCCTTTTCTCCCTTTGCCAATATCAAGTTCATGTTGACTGGGAAAAGATTATTGGACATGGAATACAACATGACAAGTTGATTAACAATGTCACCAATCAACTGCATAATGAGGTTAATATTGATTAATCAAACTTCTTTCCTCTCTATCCTGGCTAATATTGAATGCATAATTTGCTAATTTTAAACGAAACTCGAGAAACTCGACTTTGTCTAGAATCTAAAGAAAATTATTTACATTTAAAACTGTTCAACCTACAAATTAGTCTAATATCATCAAGAGTTTATCAATCTGATCAAGTTAATTGAATAAAAAACTCTTTGATTCAAATGATGCAAACTTGTTGAACTACCATGAGAATTGAGCATTTGGTGGGAGAAGGGAAAAAATGAATAACACTGAGCATTCCAATTGAATTATTCAATTTACTTGGATTAATCTTTTCTGGGTTGACTTAGTTTCCTCTTGATTGTAAAGGATTTCAATTTGTTTCAATTGCGACTGATTAAAAACTGGAAACTTGAAAAAAGCGAAATTAAAGATAAGTTGAACTCCCTGTTGGGAGTTTTTGTGTTCGTTCAACTTCTTCAAGTTAATCAAGAGTTGGTTAAAGGGAAGAAACCATGAGCTTTGATAGAGTTGATGGAAGGATGGAAAAAGGAAATTTTTTTTCTCTCGCCTTTCAAAATTTTCTCTGATAATCTTTCATGATATAAAGTGAGAAAAGAGGAAAAATGGAGGAAAAATGTTGATAACTTTTCATCGTTTGTGAATTGATAAGATTCAAGTAAGCAGACAATTTATTGGTGAAATGAAAGGGAAAAGGAGAGAAAAGATTTCTTTGGGATAACTTTGAATCTTTCATGGTAAATGTATATTTTCATCTCACCAAAGATATTAATCATTAAAAATAATAGTGAAAATGAAAGGAAGAAAAAGAAAGTAAATTCAATCTTTTAAGTTTGTTTGGCCTTCTTTTTTATTGTTGCAATAATAAAAATGAAAGACAAAAGAGTTGAAATGAAACGCAAAAAGGTAATAAATCTTATTCATCTGGATGAACAATTTATCTTGCAATTTGTTTCTCTCTCTCTTTGCCATCTTTAAAGATATGAATTAAATGAATAGTAAAGGATAACAATGTAATGATGAAAGGAAACAAAAGGGTTAACTCTTTAATCAGTGGTGATGATTGAATGAAGAGAGTTTCTCAGACAGTTGCCAAGCTAATTACTGAGTCATTTAAAGCGCCAATTCATGATTCACAAATGGAACGCTTGAATAGACTGAGAAATTATGAAAAATGGAAATTTTTATCAACATTAAAAATCTTTTGTTGCTTTTCAAAGTAGGCGCTAAGATTACGTCGCGCTTAGCAACGGGTTGCTAAACCTTTACTCTTTGGCTTGTTCATTGTGTTTCCTTATTTTTGCATAATTTACTCAACTTCACATTTCCTTTTAATTTCGTGTTTAGCCTTCGTTTTTTGTTGACCATACTTGGACAGTTGGACATGATTGGTGTA